AAAACAACCCCCTCACATTTGTCATGAAGGGCAAAATTAGCTATATAGACCAAAATAATTTTTTGAACCAGGCTGTAAACATGTTTTTTTCTGCTGTAAAGTTGGGCATTTTAACATGGGGAGTCTATGGGATTGACTCCCTTTTGCGGCCAGTTGATGAATTACAGATTGTCACTTCCTTGTTGGCTTCATGAGAGAGAGCGGGAGGTTGCCGCTTGGTGTCATTATGATGGATCACCCTACCCCACAGGGTGGTTCAATAATCAACCCATAATCTTACATGTTAAGATGGAATGAATGAATGTGTCAGATTTAGTAGTGTAGTGTTATAAAGGAATTCATTGCCCCAGCCTGTGTACATTCATGTAGCTGTCACGAGAAATCATTATTTTTACCACCTCGCTGCAGAGGAATCACATCATTGCTGTCTATGAAGTGTATAATAGAAAATAGCAATTATGATCCCCTAATTTTTATAGCAGAATTAACATGACTTTAGGGATACAATGGGATCGGTATAATAGTGTACCTGCCATATTATTTGTAAAGAGTGTACATTGTAGTCCCAAGTTGGAAGGTTTTATGCAGTCAAGCTATAAACCATTCTGAACATTGGCTACTTGAACCACTTTTTTGTCTGAGGAGCAATACTTTGTCCATGACCAGGGTTGAGAAACACCGGCCTAGCCGATTCCACAAGTCAGACACGTGCAGTTCAGTGAGAAATTGGAGACAATTAATTAAAGTCAGTCATCTGACCTATTCATTCTATGATCAACACTAGTTTTTCCCAGATATACACTATAGGGTTCCTCAAATCTTGCCCTGGAAGGCCAATGCGCTGCAGAGTTTAGCTCCAACCCTAATAAAACTCTCCTACCTGTGGTTTTCTTATGATCCTGAAGACACTGATTAGCATGCTCAGGTGTGTTTGATTAGGGTTAGAGCTAAACTCTGCAGGAAAGTGGATCTCGTGGGACAGATTTGAGGATCCCTGCACTATACTGTTCAAAAAATTGGGGTCGGTAAGACATATATATTTTTAAGAAATTAATAGATTTTTTTTTCAACAAGGATGTAATAAACCGATAAAGTGACAAAGATATTAAGAGGCACAACAAAAATATTAAGAGGCACAACTGTTTACATTGTGACATTGATAATAATAAGGGATCATTCTTGAGCACCAAATCAGCATATTAGAATAATTTCTGAAGGATCATGTGACACTGAAGACTGGAATAATGGCTACTGAAAATTGAGCTTTGACCTGATTTTAAAATATATTCACATAGAAAACAACTATACTAAACTATAATAATACATAACAATATTATGGTTTTACTGCATTTTTGATCAAATAAATGCAGCCATGGTGAGCCTGAGACTTCTTTCAGAAACATTAAAAAATCTTACCGACCCCTAACTTTTGAACAGTAGTATATTTACAGTATATCAGGGTTCCCACAAACATGGAAAAACTTTTAAATATATTATTGAAATTGTGAGGTGGTGGGGGGGGGGGGGGGGGGGGGGGGGTTCAGGTCTAAAAGTCATAAAATCGTTCTAGTTTTGCTCTAAAATGTTTTGTTAGATATCGCTATAGAGATCTAATAAAAATTGGTCACAAGCTGTTGTGATGTCCAATTTGTAAGTGAATTTGATTTACAAACCTGTCTGAATAATCCCTTAGGGAACAATGTTTAAAAAGTAATAACAAGCGTCTGGAAAGGTGTGTCTGTATCTGCAATTGTGTATCTTTTAACTACATGTCATATCAACAAACTGCTTCATTTTGTGAAGTCAGAGTTTCACTTACATCAACAGTTACTCACATCTACATCAGGTCAATTCAGTGAGTTCTTCCAGTGAAAAATTCATAATTTGTGCGTTTGAACAATTTAATAAAAGAATATGTTCATAAATCAGACTACTGGTGGTGGTGTGCTTATATTGCACAACTCAAATGATTTAGGATTCGTATTCTTGCTTATTCCTTTTTTTCTTGGTTCATTGATGGTTCAGTACAGGACTCACTGCCATATTTTCCATTTTGTATGATATTGATTGTTTTCTCAGTTTGCCTTGTAAAACATTCAGGTTTTGCTGTGAAAGCATTCTGAAAGCACGGTTAGTTTTCTTGGTTGTTTAAATTTTCTGTGACCTTGTTTATCTCTGAGAGGAATTCAAGATAAGCTCAATGCTCCTCATTGTTTGAATTTGAGTGTGCAGCTCTCAACTTCATTCTGTTGATAACACCGGTGTAAAGTTTTGCCATGCCTGTAATGCGCATCTTGAGCAAATTGAGTTTTCTTCAGTATTTAGTACGCACAATCATTTTCAAGGAATTAAACATTTCCTTATTTCTTTTTGTATGGTATGAAACTGAAAAGGAAGGTTGAATCACAAAAGTTGTTTTAGGCAGGGTCTAGTGAAATGGTTTTATCTTTTGGTTTAATCTTTAATATACGTCTCTTAAAGACAGCAGTGTCTGTATCTTCTTTGAACCCAATGTGTCAATACTAGATAAAATTTCACAAGAGACAAGAAATAGGCTCCAGGTGGCTGAAAGAAACTCAATTAAAATGAGACAAACAGGATGGCATTACTGAAGTGAGGGGGAGAAAATGGAAAAGAGTGGTAAGCGTGCCATCACCTGGTTAGTATTAACACCTAGGTGCATGTGGCGGCCTTGACAACTTGTTTATTAATTACTATTTTTAGTTTTGTGTGAAATATTTTGCTGTGCTGGGCATCCAATTATATTGAATGATGATTGGCCATTCATTGTCTAATAAAGATCATTAAGTAAGAGGGGGGAAAATGCTATCTAGTAACCTTGACAACCTAATAATTTCTCTCCTTCCACTATGTGGCTTCATGATATATTGAATAATTATAATATCATCAATATCTTATTGCCAATATAATTATATTTTATTTAATGAATCAACATTGTGACTGACACAATGATTTAGTTTCTAAAGACTGTGGCAATAGTATTGGGAGTATTAAAGCACTTAATGTGTGATATTTTGCAGGCAAAAAAAGGTCCATAGTCCATTGTCAGTCGAGAAGCCACATATGAAGCACATAAGACACTTTCAAACCAAGCAGCTTTCAGCAACAAATTTGCGTGACCAACTCAAACATGAGTGAAATTTACGACAAGAAATAGGCTCCAGGTGGCTGAAAGAAACTCAATTAAAATGAGACAAACAGGATGGCGTTACTGAAGTGAGGGGGAGAAAATGGAAAAGAGTGGTAAGCGTGCCATCACCTGGTTAGTATTAACACCTAGGTGCATGTGGCGGCCTTGACAACTTGTTTATTAATTACTATTTTTAGTTTTGTGTGAAATATTTTGCTGTGCTGGGCATCCAATTATATTGAATGATGATTGGCCATTCATTGTCTAATAAAGATCATTAAGTAAGAGGGGGGAAAATGCTATCTAGTAACCTTGACAACCTAATAATTTCTCTCCTTCCACTATGTGGCTTCATGATATATTGAATAATTATAATATCATCAATATCTTATTGCCAATATAATTATATTTTATTTAATGAATCAACATTGTGACTGACACAATGATTTAGTTTCTAAAGACTGTGGCAATAGTATTGGGAGTATTAAAGCACTTAATGTGTGATATTTTGCAGGCAAAAAAAGGTCCATAGTCCATTGTCAGTCGAGAAGCCACATATGAAGCACATAAGACACTTTCAAACCAAGCAGCTTTCAGCAACAAATTTGCGTGACCAACTCAAACATGAGTGAAATTTACATGGGGAAATCTTTCACCCTCCCGAATGTGTGGATTCCTATTAGGGTTGGGCGATGTCTACCAAATTGGCATCAGACAATGATTCAATCTGATTCAAACTCTATTTGCGTTCTCAAAAAAAAGGACATCACGGGGTATTTTACATTTCAGTTGCTGCTTTGTGTAAGTGCATGTTTAGTGACTTTTCTTTTTATTATTAATATTTATTTTTTACATTTATGATTTATTCAAAATGTCTTGATGTTTACATGTATTTGATTTATATTAGATCTACTATATTTACACTGAATTTTGCAACTTGGTTTAAACATTTGTGTCTAATAGTTTAAACAACCCAAAATGGGTCATAGAATCCCCTTTTTTCTGTAAGCAGGAAGACCAATAAGAAGCAAACGTTCTCATCAGCATCTTCTCATTTTTTAACATTAGCTAGAGAACAAACAAGATGCAGAGCAGCTAGAAGGTCTATTCGGTTATCTTTTCTTGGTGTAAAAATTTCAGCATGTTGCTTTGAAGAATGTTTGGCTTTTTGTTGACAGGATGTGTATTAATGAAACTATAAATTAAACTTTTACCCAATGGCCTTAACCAGCTTAGTCTACTTTTTTAACAATATTTTGTGTGTCCATATGAATTTGTATACATGAGTAGAAATGAAAAATGAGAACATGCTGCTCTTCATGCTGTCCCTGTGGAGACTCTTGTTTACTTGTGTAAGAGTGTTTGCTCACAGTCATTTGTACTGACACCCACATTCATACATCTCTAAGCAGGCTAATGCCTCTCTGAATAGCGGAAGAGTGCAGCATACATCATAAAGTTAACTCAGAGCTGAGAAGCTATAGCGAAACCCATTTACTAGAGAACTCAATTCTATCCAGATGCACTTCAAAGGCTTTGCTGTTCCATTTCTGATTTCCACACTGTTGATAAGCGCTTGGCTCATTTAAAAGTTCCAGTCTTGCATTTCATTTGTCGAAATGTTAATGGCATTTGAGCTCGTTCTCTGCAAGGGCATATACGCCAATAAAAAAGGGTGAGGTTATTGATGTTTGCAGAGGATGGACCGCATGATTTCTATTTAAATGGGGTCTTGGATTGAATTTAATTACTAGAAGTATCCTTGGGTGTCCTGGAAGGGTGAAAAATAATTGCTCTGTATTGATAATTCTTCCCATAATGATCTCTATCTTTCCTCTCCTCTTTACAGTATGAATTTAAAGTGAAGAATGTCAAAAAGAAGAAAGTCAACATCATTGTGTCTGTGGACGGAGTCAAAGTAGCACTGCGGAAAAAGAAAAAGGTAAAATTGTATGTTTTGTTAGTTATAATGTTCAATTTGTTAGTTTAAAGGTGAGACAATATTCATTCATTAATTCATTCATTTTGATTTATTCATTCATTTTGATATATTTATTCAGTTATTATATTAATTCATTCAGTAATTATTTATTTATTTGTTAATTTTTTTATGCACAAAGGATGATGCACATTAAGTGCACTAGGAACTCTATATCAATATTTTCTTGTGTTTGAGACTATAGAGAACCTTTTTTTTATGAACACAAATACTGTGCTATAAATTGTGTTGTTGGGCTGTATTAGGGATTGATTCATTGTAAGTGTTAACTTCCGATAATTCATTCATTTTGATATATTTATTCAGTTATTATATTAATTCATTCAGTAATTATTTATTTGTTAATTTTTTTTATGCACAAAGGATGATGCACATTAAGTGCACTAGGAACTCTATATCAATATTTTCTTGTGTTTGAGACTATAGAGAACCTTTTTTTTATGAACACAAATACTGTGCTATAAATTGTGTTGTTGGGCTGTATTAGGGATTGATTCATTGTAAGTGTTAACTTCCGATATAATCATGTTACATAACATATCTAGAGTAGGGTTGGGTATAGTTTGGGTTTTTTCCGATAAAGGTGCAAAATCAATACTTTTAAAATGGTACCGGTGCCTGAACCGAAACTTTAAAAAAAAAGAAGAACCCAAAATAGGATAAATTTGCCATTATTGAGCGCTATAAACACATTTAATGTCTGTTTCATTCAGACTGGATGCCAGAGGGCGCCCTCGTGCATAAACTCCACATATGCATCACAGAAGGAATAGAACTCAGGAAATCCCTAATATGGGCTGCATCCAAAAACTTAGGCAGCTGACTTGCTGCCTCGCTGCTGTATGAGGCAAGACTGGATGCCAGAGGGCGCCCTCGTGCATAAACTCCACATATGCATCACAGAAGGAATAGAACTCAGGAAATCCCTAATATGGGCTGCATCCAAAAACTTAGGCAGCTGACTTGCTGCCTCGCTGCTGTATGAGGCAATTACTTTTCAGGCAGCGTTTTTGCACGAAGGCACCTCATGAAACTTATTTCGGACAGGCTTCTGAGGCAGCGTAACGGTTTAATGATCTACAACAAAATAGAACGAGTTTTTGTGACAACTAAAGAATATTGAATTACTATAATACTGATCTCTCGCTAGAAATAACATCAAAAGTGCAAAAAGTTAGTCAGAAATGTACATTTACACACAAACTGACCACCAAACGCAACTTTCAGATGCCATCTTTATTTTTTTAGCTCAACCGTCACGGAACGGAACGGAACGCACAGGATTGTGGGATATCAAAGGCAGCGAAGGATACATCTATGCTGCCTTCAAAATTCGATCAGAAGAAGGTACCTCCGGAGATAAGAAGTAAAGCAGAATTTGGATTCGGACGTGCCTTGATGCTTTCCTGCTTTAGAATGCTGCCTCCTAAGGCAGCATTTTAGAGTTTTCGGGTGCAGCCATGGACAGGCATTGCTATCGCTGTAACTGAGTAAATATAAGATATAAACGTTTTGAATGATAAAACAAAGACAATAAACACTCGACTGTGACAATGTATAGTTTCTGTTATTCAAGCCATCACTGGTATTTTCATCATAACTAAATATATTTATAATCCATTGCTAATCGACATAGCCTTTTTACCATATGTTTTTTACAGTATAGAACATATTTTATACATTGAGCAGCATTAACTACACAGAGCCGTTGTTCACTGACGAGCTGTGCAAAACATCGCACGAATATGAACGGGGTTTTGCACAGCTCGTCAGTGAACAACGGCTCTGTGTAGTTAATGCTGCTCCTGTTATTCAAGCCATCACTGGTATTTTCATCATAACTAAATATATTTATAATCCATTGCTAATCGACATAGCCTTTTTACCATATGTTTTTTACAGTATAGAACATATTTTATACATTGAGCAGCATTAACTACACAGAGCCGTTGTTCACTGACGAGCTGTGCAAAACATCGCACGAATATGAACGGGGTTTTGCACAGCTCGTCAGTGAACAACGGCTCTGTGTAGTTAATGCTGCTCAATGTGAAAGCACGCACGTGATGGAGATTTACCGCTGATTACAGAACCGGCTTTCTGACAAGATGCGCATTAAATATCGCATGCGATTTATCGTGCAGCCCTATTAGCTAGCTAACGGTATCTACCTGCTGCTGTCAGAGCAAGTATAATTACTGCATTCACGCGCTCCTCGGATGCTCTCATTTCCATGTGAAAACGACATGGACACTCGCGTTACTACAAAGATGTGTTGGATTTGTATTATTAGAGCTTTCCTACTTGAGTTCGTGAATTTTCTCAGTCAGGAAATAATTTTTCACGTGCGGTGACGGTGATCTGGTCTGTTTCGGAGAACCAAAGAAGAAATATTTCAATCGATCGCTCAAGCATTTAAGTGGCACCGAAATGAGGCACAGAAATCTGCATTCTGATTCTGTTCTAGTACATACTGGTTACATAGGTACCGTGCCATATTGGCACCGGGTTTCGGTACCCAACCCTAATCTAGAGGCAAGTTGATTCAGTGTCAGGTTGCTATGGGTGGATTGCTTAGATTCTACCTCTTTTTAGTAACAATAACAGCAGGTCATAATTTAGATGGTGGTAGCAATCTAGTGTAAGCTTCAAGTAGTCCGAGGGTTTGATCCTGGAGGTTTTTTTTTCTTTTTTCCCCGCGTTCAGATGAGAATAACACATCACCGCCCTGCCCTACTGTGTTCACCCTTTGGCAAGACACTTTGCCTTAAGAGATGATTTTGTCCTTTAGCAAGATGCTTAGCTCAAAAGTTAATGGGTGCAGTCAGTCCCTGCCATTTCTGCATCTTAAGTCGCCTTGTGCTGTTCATTTAAACACAAGTAATTGATTTACACAGGTGTTTTATCTCTTGGTTTAATTTGGAGCTGGAACTTAAATGAGAAAATTGATAGAGCAAGCTTCTGCCTAGGATATATTATCATATATTAAAGCCTGGCTTGTGGTGTACTGAAATGATTACTTTCATTTCCTGCAGAAAAAAGAATGGACCTGGGATGAAAGCAAGATGATGGTGATGCAAGACCCAATATACAGGTGCGCAGCTTCATAAAATGTCTCTTTTATTTTAACTGCATTCAGCACTTGACCAATGTAGCTGTCAGTCCTGAAAGTAAGTGAGTAATGCTGTGAGTCAGCTCTCAATGGGAGGCTTTCAGTGGGAAAGGAGAATACAATTATCGTGTCATGTTTGCCCCTAAACTGTGTACCTAAATATATCACCTTCACACTCACAGTGGCAATGTTCACACATACAGTGTTTAAGATTGACAGCCGTTTTAAGTAGCAGGTGTGAGTCTCAGATTGTCTGTACACAACCCTCTACATTGCGAGTAAATCACTCGCATATGTGACTAAATCTTCACTCTGGGCGATTAAATGATGTCTAATATTAGCCAATGGCTAATAAATTCTCAGATTTTACTCGCCGGTGAGTGAGTTGGAGGCTGAGTATAAGTTTAGCACAGATATATTTTCACTCGCCAAACACTCTCTGACTGAGCGCCTCAGAGTTTCACTCTCCATCAAGCAGCGATCTGTGCTCGATCGCTCAAGCATTTAAGTGGCACCGAAATGAGGCACAGAAATCTGCATTCTGATTCTGTTCTAGTACATACTGGTTACATAGGTACCGTGCCATATTGGCACCGGGTTTCGGTACCCAACCCTAATCTAGAGGCAAGTTGATTCAGTGTCAGGTTGCTATGGGTGGATTGCTTAGATTCTACCTCCTTTTTAGTAACAATAACAGCAGGTCATAATTTAAATGGTGGTAGCAATCTAGTGTAAGCTTCAAGTAGTCCGAGGGTTTGATCCTGGAGTTTTTTTTTTCTTTTTTCCCCCCGTTCAGATGAGAATAACACATCACCGCCCTGCTCTACTGTGTTCACCCTTTGGCAAGACACTTTGCCTTAAGAGATGATTTTGTCCTTTAGCAAGATGCTTAGCTCAAAAGTTAATGGGTGCAGTCAGTCCCTGCCATTTCTGCATCTTAAGTCGCCTTGTGCTGTTCATTTAAACACAAATAATTGATTTACACAGGTGTTTTATCTCTTGGTTTAATTTGGAGCTGGAACTTAAATGAGAAAATTGATAGAGCAAGCTTCTGCCTAGGATATATTATCATATATTAAAGCCTGGCTTGTGGTGTACTGAAATGATTACTTTCATTTCCTGCAGAAAAAAGAATGGACCTGGGATGAAAGCAAGATGATGGTGATGCAAGACCCAATATACAGGTGCGCAGCTTCATAAAATGTCTCTTTTATTTTAACTGCATTCAGCACTTGACCAATGTAGCTGTCAGTCCTGAAAGTGAGTGAGTAATGCTTTGAGTAAGCTCTCAATGGGAGGCTTTCAGTGGGAAAGGAGAATACAATTATCGTGTCATGTTTGCCCCTAAACTGTGTACCTAAATATATCACCTTCACACTCACAGTGGCAATGTTCACACATACAGTGTTTAAGATTGACAGCCGTTTTTAGTAGCAGGTGTGAGTCTCAGATTGTCTGTACACAACCCTCTACATTGCGAGTAAATCACTCGCATATGTGACTAAATCTTCACTCTGGGCGATTAAATGATGTCTAATATTAGCCAATGGCTAATAAATTCTCAGATTTTACTCGCCGGTGAGTGAGTTGGAGGCTGAGTATAAGTTTAGCACAGATATATTTTCACTCGCCAAACACTCTCTGACTGAGCGCCTCAGAGTTTCACTCTCCATCAAGCAGCGATCTGTGCTATTTTTCAGCTCATCTGAATGGATGCGCAGCGCACCTGTATTTGACGTACCGTAAACTCCAGTGTAACGGCGCACGACTCGCCGTCGCTTTGGTGAGAGCAGAGAGAGCGAGAGAGTCTTACATACATGAAGAATTGACGTGCTACATGTAAACGATATTCTTTGTTGTATTTTCTTGTCAAAATAACAGAGTTCATTTTGGATTTTTTCAGCTTTTAAGAACTGCCGAGTTCTCTGGTAGTGGGCGGAACTAATGAATAGGGATGTAACGATTAACCGTGAGCCGGTTGAAAATCGATTCAAATATGTGACGATTTAAATCGGTTGAGATGCTAAACAAATCGCGGCTCATTTAGGGGTAGGAGTTTATATGAATGTATGTCTGAGGGGAACTTACTGTTTTAGAAAAGTTTAGATGGTATTTTTTCTTTTCCTCTTGCCTCTGTATAATGCATATTAAAGTTCACAAGTGCAGGGCTGCTTTGTTTACAGCGGAAACCAAAGAAACGCTTTAAGCGCCTCCTGCTAGCAGAGAGTGAGTCTGCGTCTCATTCAGCTCGTCTGCTGTTTCTTGCAGATATTTTTATGTATAGTTTCACAAAACTGAAGTCAACACATTCTGTTTTTGCTTCAAATTTCGAAATTATACAATCTAATTTAGATTAAAAACTGCTCATGTTGCATGTCTGCAGCATCTTTGTTTGGATCATGATTAAAATGCAGTGGTTGTCTCTAATTTTAAAAGGAAAGAGCACAGACAAAGCCTTAGTTTGTTTATATGAAGATATTTCTTTTATTTGTGTTACTTAATTTGGAGCTTCTTTTAAAATTTTAATTTAGTTTTGTTATTTACATTATATTTCAATTTTGTCATTTAGCAGACGCTTTTATCCAAAGCAACTTACAAATGAGGACAATAGAAGCAATCAAAACCAACAAAAGACCAATAATATGCAAGTGCTATATTAGTATATTATTATAGTGTTATATTTCAATTTCACAAAGAAATGTGCAGCATTTTGTCCAAGCAATAATA